TCCATACTTCCAGCCCTAACAGATTGCTCAAGATGTCGTATCACGTTATTGTCCAGATTTGACCAAACGACAAACTCCATGATGATCTGGGTCTCAAAGTCTGGCGTGAAAGGCGGTGGGCGTTATTCCTTCAAGGAATGATGGATCTTTAATTTTATTAAGGGATCTCCAACTACCTGCACGTTTACAAAATGTTTTACTGTTCTACAAAAAGTTGCTTTTTGTGACATAACAGCTAATTATTAAAGAAGTTATTATTAAAATTTTCACCTAAGAATGTCAACATTATTATATTAGTGCAATGCATTCTGGGTGATTATGTGTATAGGATGCAGTGGAAACGAAGACAAGGAATCAAGCCTAAAAAGTTACAATGCTGGACAATAAAGTTATACGCTTTATTAGTCCTTATGTTGCTATAGTATACCATGCCACTTTATTTATAAAGCACTTAAAAACAGCAACAAGAACAACCAAAGTGCTGTACAGTAAAACAAGCAAAGGACACAGCACAAAATATAAAGTAGGTAAAGATAAGAACTAAATGACTATTATAGAATTATAGAATAGAGGCAAGTTAAAATCAACTCACACAGCGTCAAAAGCCGAGGAATCATTTTTCTTTACGCATTTTTGGGTCAAAACAATCAAATGTGATGAACTCGTGATCTGTAGTTCATCTGCTCCGGAGCTAACACTAAACAAGCTAAAGCTGAGGCACCATCCCACAAACCCCTGACGTCCGTCATCCATCTCTGTGGCGGTACCGGACCACTGTGCACATCCTGCGATGGTGTTGTGCATTACTCTGTGGTCCAGAACACCCCCCAACCCGACCCAAATTAGGACAAGCAGGAGCTGATGGATGGATGGATGGATGGATGGATGGATGGATGGATGAAGAGAACGTGAAAGTAATGAGAACACATTTTGAAGCTCGTCAAGAGTGACAGAAAACGGAGCTCTCTGCAGCAGAGTCTGTCTCATCAGCAGCTCTTCTGCTCGACTCCCTCCTCTTCATCGTTCAGTCTTCATCATGTTCAGCTGCAGGCCGAGTCATTTCTGCATTCTTCTCTGTCAACGTGCTCCGGTTCAAATTAAAGATCTGAATGTCAGACATCGCCTGAAATTACCACTCAAGCTGGACGGAGCTTGAAGACACCCACCTACATCACTTACCCAGAATGCATTCCACTGTAAACAACGTGGCGACGCTCGTGTGATTTTATCATTTTAAATTTATAAAAACTGAACAGCTCACAATATTTTCCAGTCCTGTTTTATAGCTGACGCAGACATCTCTCAAATGGTGTCTATTGTCCAACTGGTCAGAGATCTCGTTAAGAAAACCGTTTTTGTTTGGCAGAACTTCTGCAAAGATTATCAGGGGTCAAAGGTCGTCGAATTATCAAGCCACAGATAAGGCAACAATCTTGACAACATGAACCGTCCATCAACACAAGTGTTCTAACATTTTTTAGATGCGTTTTAAAAAACAAGAGGCTTTTAGGAATCCTGGAAGCTTCCAGCAGCACTCAGACCTTTGGAAATCTGGACAAACAGCTAAAGTAAACAAACAAACAAACAAACAAACATGCCGAGGCATGTTCTGCAGCCCAGACTGGATAATCTTAGTCATGCTTACAGAAACACTGTGAAGGAGCTGTTTATTGGACCTAAGGTGGCATCTAACCTTTAAACACATCTTCTTATCTCTCTGCAGTCATTACAGGACATTTAAAGTACCCCCCCCCCCCCCACCCCCACACACACACACACACACAGACACACACACACACACACACACACGTCCCTGTCCAGATGAAATCATCTCATGAGTCAACACCGCAGTGGTTGAAAAGTTTATGGGGTTAAAACCAGATTCAGTGGAGCATTTTTTGCTCTGCAGAGGAAACAACGTTTAAAAGAGGAGATCTTCACGGGAAGCCTGATGTTGACACCACTCACCGTGAAGCTTTACCTCATGAAGACGAGGAAACAAACGTCTTCTCGTTTTGCAAAGACTCGTGGAAACAAAACACTCACATTTCCATTTTAGGGACCTGCTGCTCACTTTACTGCTCCACTTAAACTCATGCTTTCCATCGAGCAGCAGCCAAACGGTGACGCCGTTTACGTTTCCTCAACCACAGCCCTCAGTTACGACTCAATCTGACCCCGTCACAAACATTAAAGGGATATTTCAACCATACTAAAGTGGTGTTCTAGAGAGTTGGCTCTTTGAAAGACCGGCTGCTCTGACCAGATTGATGAGCTAAAGGCTAACATGGCTAAGACCAGAGTGGGTCGCTGGTGTAAAAAACAGCTCGTATCTCAAATATGTCAGAGCAGTTTGTTCAAACGCCCTTTCATAAACCAAAATGTCTCTTTAAGTCCGTTGGCTTTCACAAAACAGCACAACACTCTAAAACATCCTGACAGGAGCTGATCGCAGCTTCCAGTCAACTGTGACGACACGAGTCCAAGACAATTTGACCAGATAATGAACCAACCCTCAGCTTGACCAATACAGGCACCAGCTCAAAGCTGCCCCCCAGGAGAAAATACTAAGCCTGCCAGATGTGAAGCTGTGGGTGAAACAGCAGCTGAAGAGAAGCTAAAGGTGGCATCCCATTTGGCTGTGACTGCCGGAGACGAGTTGGTGACTCGAAAAAAACAAGAAAATGACGTTTCCATTGCAGACACTGTCATTCCACTACTTTTAGTTTGTACCCTTTGATAAATTTGGATCACTTTTTCTACTGAGGTTTGTAGATTCATTCATTCAACCTTTATTTATACAAGTTAGTCCCACTGAGCCTCGGGACCCATTTACAAGACAGACCTGGTTTTAACAAAGAGTGAAGACAACAGTGGACAACAAAGACAATGATACTCAATTATAAAAGATGCGTACAAATTGAGAACAACAAGTGAAAATAAAATGGTATTTAAAAATGTAACAAAAAATAAAAACAGCTAGATTATAAGATGATGTAGAAAACTAAAAACAGGAACATGTGTGCATTGTTTTTTTTCCAGGAACTGAACAGACTGAAGACACTTAGAGAGGTCAAAGGTCAGGAGCTTCAGATCTTTTTACAAGATGTTCCAGGAAACAGGAGCGGAGTAGGAGAAGGTCCTTTTGTCTAGTTCAGTCCTCACTGAGGGAACACTGCAGGTAATGATGTCCTGAGAGTGCACGCTGTAGCTGCACTCACACAGAGACATGTAGGAGGAGATGTATGAAGGCAGCAGACCAGGAAGTGATTTAAAGATGAAAATGTACCAGTGAGAGAGTCTGTGTGAAGTTAATGGTGACCAGTTAACCAGTGAATACTGGGTGCAGTGGTGGGTACTAGTTACAGCCAGTTACAAGGCTATCTAAAAGCTAAAGATAACAAAATGATGCTTAGAAGCTAAATGTAGCAAAAGGCTAGCTCAAAGCTTAAATTAGAAATATGCTAGCTAAAAGCAGCAAAAGGCTAGCTATTTTAGCTACTGTTGTGCTGATTTTAGCTTTTATCCTTCGATACTTTATGTTAGCCTTTTGCTACTTTAGCTCCTAGTCAGCCTTTTGTTAATTTAAGCTAATCTTTTGCTACTTTTAGCTAATGTTTGTAATGACGCAGTCAATGTGCATGTCAGCAGCAGTGTGTGTGTGTGTGCGTGTGTATGTGCACGTGTGTTTAACCGACCGGCTCTTGTATAAAAAATAAACACATTCGAGGGCTCATAAAGCCGAAAGCATCGGAGCTATTCTGAGCACAATGGGCGGTATGTCAGAAATGTGTGTGATGGGATGACGGTGTGGGCGGGGCCGTTCAGATGGGAATGCAGAACTGGGACGGCTGCATTAATTAGTTCTGACTGCTGGTTTTCAGACTCTAACCAACGCTGAAGAGTTAAAGCAACAAACTGGGTTCAAACAAACAACTGGTTACACCAGGGGTGTCCGGCCTGGAGGGCCCCCATCCTGCAGGTTTGACTCGTTTCTTTGCTCCACACCAGATTCAACAGTGTGACTACCAGAGGCCTGTTAATCACCTACTGACTCAAATTATGTGTTAGAGCAGAGAAACATAAAACATGAAGGATGGTGGCCCGGGACCAGGACTGGACACCCCCGGGCTCCACGATCTGAAAGTTTTAAGCTTGATGAGTTTAAAGTCAATAAGCAGGAAGTTTGTTTCCCCCGAAGATGCCACGCCGCACAGGAAACTCTTTTTCTCCTGGACCGATGTCAGATGTTAACGCACTGACAGCAATTACATAGAACATCACTTCAAAAATGACCAGACTGTCCCTTTAAACAACGCAAAACATTTAGTGAAGAGAAAATAAAATAAAGAACAAATGCAAGTTATGGAGGTTTTTATTTTTTATTTTTTCATTTACCCTTTATTTATCCAGGTAGTCTCATTGAGCCAAGAGAACTCATTTTCAAGAGAGACCTGTTAGGGAGCAGATGGTGGGGGTTGAGTGCCTTGCTCAGGGGCCCAGAGTGGGGCCCAGAGTGGGGCGAATGAGGGTGGAGGCAGGTGTGGGTGTTTCACCTTTTCCACCCACATTTTGATGTTGACGGTACCGGGAGGTGAACCTGCGACTTTCCGATCACAGGCCCATCTTGTAACCTCTGCGCCACCACTCCCCCTCTAGTTCAGATGGTCAATAATTCAGACAAGTGTAACTTGTTGGTGAAGCTTTTTGTGTAAGTTTAAATTTTATTTTTGTCAGTTTCTGGGCTGGCTCCAAATGTCAAGGAGGTGATATTTATACGACAGATCCTGTTGGCAGGCCTCAGACTGACTAAGTCATCTGGATGAAAGACGAAACGTTTCGCCCAAAAACAGCCTGTCCAGGTGACCTGATTTAACCCTTTTTGATTGAGATTACAAACCTTTTCTTATTGTGTAAACTTGGATTTCAGATACTACATGCTGATTTTATTCCAGACTAACAGATTAAAAGAATTAACGTCTTAACGTGTACAAATATTCCTAACCTGCGAAATGATTCCTCCATATTATGTCAGCGATGGTCACTGGTGGGCCCCCGGCTGGGTGTGGTTTTCCTTTGTCATGGTCAGTCCTGATCATGTCCATTAAGGAATTCTCCAAAGAGACCAAGTTAAAGGGGTCAAAGGGCCGAGTCCGGTCCTGAAACACACAAACACATTCAACGTTAATTATAATATTTTGTAATTCAGGTGTTCAGGGAATAAAATGCAAACAGGGTTGAACGATGGGAAATGAAGAAATATGAAACTGTCGCTCCGAAGTTGTCGTGTTTTAACCCAAACCATCAAACATGCTGAATGAGGGCACGCTCGTTTGGTTCGGGGGTTGTGCGGCACATTGTTTGCACAACACAGCTTTTGTCGTTCGTTCGTCTGAGCGTTCAAAAGCGTTATTCCAATCGCTCTGGACCCAACAGCGCCGCACTGATAAAAATCTGCCCACTTGGGCCAAACAGTGAACATTTAAACCGCTGAGCTCTCGGTTTGTTTCCCCTCCCCACTCGCCCCGCCGTGGACACATGGGCCAGCATGACGATGGCCTAATGACACGGAGAGATACGACACGTTATAAAATCCTACATGGACTTTGCTCCTGAACACATCATGAGTTACTGCTAACGTGTGGAATGCAGGTTGACGTTGACCCGTTCTGTTGACGCAGCAGCCCACTTCTCCTCACAACACATGAACAAGATATGGAGCATTTATGACGGGGGGGGGGGGGGGGGGGGGGGGGGGGGTGTCAAGATAAGAAAATACCCGTTTCACATAAATAAAAACAGTTTAGGAAGAATAAGATGTGTCAGATTAATTCATTCAATCTTTATTTCGACAGGTTAGTCTCATCGAGTCACGAGGACCCATTTACAAGAGAGACCTGATTTAGACAAACAACATGTAAAGTACAGACAACATGTAAAGTACAGACAACATATGAAGTACAGAGAACACATAAAGGACAGACAACACGTAAAGTACAAACAACATATAAAGTACAAACAACATGTAAAGTACAGACAACATGTAAAGTACAGACAACATATAAAGTACAGACAACACGTAAAGTACAG